CCCCGACCGGATGCACAGGGGGAGCAGCCCAGGAGCCGACACAACCCCGACCAGACGCACAGGGGGAGCAGCTCAGGAGCCGACACAACCCCGACCGGACGCACAGGGGGAGCAGCCCAGGAGCTACTGCAAGGCCTCCCCGCAGGCTCTGGGACCCAGTGGTTGCTGGCACCTGCAGTGGCTGCCCGAACAGTCCTCCAGATTCCCCAGCCTCTGAAACCAAGATTGGAGGAGACAAAAATAGAGGTGTGAAGTGCTGTGGGCGATGACTACCGCCTTTCTCCCTCCTCCAAGCTAAATAGCTCCAATTCCGTTGGCAATTTTTCCTAAGGTGTATCTGCCAACGCTCTAATCACCTGTGTGGCTGTGGATTAAATCTGTCCTGAAATCTCCCTTTTACCCTTGAGTTGCAAGTCCGGAGTGCAACCTAGCACTGTCTGTGCAGAATTAATGTTGGGTGACAGGGAAAAAGCACACATACAGATTGGATCTAAAAGGACACTGGTTTATACTGGAACTGACTTTCCAGCAGCACCTCTCAGAGAAGGCCTGTTCATCAGAGACAGAACGGGAAGAGGAGGTGGCGTGGCATGCCACACACCTGGCACTGCTGCATTGCATTGAGCAGCGGGTCAGCACCTGGCTTACTTGGGACGGACGCCCTGCATTTCAGCAAACGGATTAGTCACGTTCACAAGAACGGAAGCCCCGTTTGCAAGCACAGACGTGGGTGTCATCACTCAATGTCCCTTGTTGTAAAATTGCTCTCATTTTCCAAGAATTTCTCCTAACTGCTCCTAGCGCCAGGCAGGCTCAGTGTGTTTTAAGGGGTTTCTATCTTTGAGGAACTGTGGCACTGTGGAGACAGACAGACAGATGTGGACACAGCCATCTTGATGCAGTGACTGGTGTGACTGTGCAGGTAGGCCTTTCTGTCCCACTGGGCCTCCTTGGTCGTACTCAAATTTAATCTACTGCCCCCTCTGCCAGGAGGTGGCAGTGGCTGTCCCCTGAAGCTGAGGGCCTAGGTGATCTGTGAGAATGAGTGACATATTTGACTCCATGAGCAGCAGCAGCTTCTCCGGCTGATGTGATGGAAGAGTCCAGAGCTGGATCATTTGCACACATGTCGCCCCCACACAAGCGCACCACCCAACTCTTCACAGCTTCGGGCTCTCCCGGGCTTCCCAATCTCACCCACCCTCCTCTGTCACTGGGGCTCCCGTCTGTCCCCCCAGTAACCTTTGCCCACCACGTCCACGGCTCTCCAACGTCCACGACTACCTTTCGCGTGCTATCCAGACAGTGTTGAGTAGTCTCACACGCAGAGACGCTGTCCTCCAAGTCTGTGCCCCAGTTTGCAAAGTGACAACTGGCTGAGGAACTTGAATTTGAGTTCCACCCCATCCTGCCTGAAACAGCCAAGCCAATTACAGGTCAGCCTTGCTGCTGCTCAGGCCTGGCTGAGCATAGAGCTGGGTCATCTGGCTCTCGGGGCCAGTCTGTCCTCAAGCCTTGAAGCAGAAATACATCGACAGAGGCAACGTGGGAGGCCTGAGCTTGCTGGACTGGCCAGCACCTTCCCAGACATGCATGGACGGCCGGCTCCCTCCTTACGCAGCACGTAACTGATGTCTGCCATTCGGGATGCAGTGAAAATCCCAGCTCCCACCTTGCTGGCCTGTGACAGCCCCAGCTGACCTGTGCCCCACCACAGCTGTGACCTGGGGGCTGACCATCTCTCTCACACACCACAGGTGCTTACGTGTGCATGTGAGCACACGTGCGTGGCTATATGCCCACACATGCATGTGTGTGTGTTCCATTCATTACACTCGTCTCGTTCCCTTCCTGTCAGAGCCATGGCATCAAACCCATGTAGGGGGACAGTAAGAAGGCCACTGGTCCCCCGGGGGTGTGGCATGGCAGAACTGTGCCGTGGACTTGGCTCACATGCCCAGGAGATGTGACCGGCCGAGGTCCCGTGGGTGGCGGCATCATTGCTCCAGCTGTTCCTTGGTAGAGTGGAGGGGGTTAGGGGGGAGGGGGGAGGGACAGCCGGGGGCGGTGGCGTCAGGGACGGCCCCCAGTGAGCGCCGGCCTGGTGCTCGCTGCGTGTTCTGTCACGTGGCTTCGGCTTGTGTGTGGCGCCATCTCTGACACCCTCTGTGCAGCGTCACCGCTGGGGGCCCGACGTTGGCATCACCCCTCCCCAGCGCCTGCCTTGTCCACCCACAGATACCAGAAGCACAGGATGACATCATCCCACGAGCAAAGGGACGAGGAAGCTTAGTAGTTGGCAAGAATGCCGATTCTAAGTTTACTTGAAATAGAAAACTTTGCTAGTTGGATAGTGAGATAAGAATCAAAAGTAACTTTCTAGGAGATTGCTGTTTGAAGAAAATTTAAAAGTTGTTCTAGGTGTTGGGGGCTCAAGCTCCTAATCCTAGCTACTCAGGAGGCTGAGATCTGAAGGCTGTGCTTCAAAGCCAGCCTGGGCAGGGAAACACCTGAGATTCTTGTCTCCAACCAACCACCAAAAAGCTGGAAGTGGCGCGTGCTAGCCTTGAGCAAAAAGTTTAGGGACAATGCCCAGATCCCAAGTTCAAGCACTAGACTGGTATACACACACACACACGTACACACACACACACACACACACACACAGACTATGACCTTCAGGACACTTAGAGAACAAGGTTCAGCTAGTCAGAGGTCAGCATGACATTCTGTAGCAGTTTTGGGGCGTCAGAGGCAGAGTTCCATAAAAGAATTAAAAAAAGCCACACAGCAGGAGAGCACAGACCAGAATTTTAGCAGGGAATCTGTTCAATTGTCTTGTACTTGCTGTGGAGTCACTGGAAAATTCCTCATCCTCCACACCTACAAACCAGAAATTACCAGGACCAAAAATAAGAAGACACCCCACAGCTCTCCAACAGGTCAGGCTGACTGAAGGCTGCCCGGCCGCGCAGCCTTACAGAGCCGTTAAGAGACGTGGCTGCTGCTGGCTGGAAGATGCTTTTGTCAAGTTGGACTCTGGCCAGGTTATACGAGTGTGAATTTGGATTTTAGAAGGAAACACAACAGCCCACGAGTGCAAGAGCAACACCAGGTCCTGCAGAAGACAGATGCCTCGCAGCGGCGCGTCAGGAGCTGGCACCACGCTCCTCCTGTGTGTAACCAGGAAGCCCTCTGGTGTGGTCACACTCCACGCGGTGGAGACAGGACCAAGGGTGCCTTGGCCCCGGACCTGATGCAGGTTCGGCCGTGGCTGACGCTCCCAGAGGCCTCCTAGTCCCCTCAAGGTGAACCCAGTACTGTCTCAGCTGAAGTCTCTGAAGCAGCTCCGCCTGCTCAGCCTGCAGCCAGGTGCAGGTCTTCAGGCCCCACCTCCTCCCAGCTGTGGGAGCCCAGCCTGAGGGCCCGCAGGGCTCGGGAGGCGGCGGCCTGATCGCTGTGCGGAGACAGTGCCCTCCGAGGGGCGTCAGCTCCATTTGGGAACCAAAGACGTCGCCCACAGAGCGTGCCAGGCCCCGGCATCTTGTGGAGTATCAGAACATGAGTGCAGAGGGCAGAGAGCCTCAGACCCGCGGCGGGTCCCTCGCTTGCTTCCTGCACACAGCGGAGCCCGATCTGTGAGAGACGGCAAGCCTCTGGCAAACAGAGCCTGACCACACCTGGCAGGCCGGCAGGACCCCGGCTCCCCTGCTCACACATTCAGCCACAGGAATTCCTCTGACTTGCTCAATGCGGGTGCGCACCTGTGAGTGGACAGGAGAGTCTAGTTTACTGTCTTCACTAGGAGGAGGGCTGGAAGCAGATGATCACAGCTAAGAGCAGGAGGGGCCCTGGTGGAGC